CTCATCCTACCGTGAGCGAGGGTATAGTCACAAGGCAGGTCTGTTTTAATTGGTCAGGAGGATGTTGTGATTGGTCCATCAACATCCAAGTAAGGAATTGCAACGGATATTTTGTGTATTACATCAGTGGTACGCCTCCATCGCATCCGTGTCACTTGCGATATTGTGGTGCTGACTAAAGCTTTCATGAAAACAATACTAAGGCCGGTTAGCTTTTAGACCGAGTAAAATAGAGTAGCCACATATATACTACTGATTTCACACGCAAGGATTTTGTTTCTTGTTTTGAAATGAAAGTGATGTTGGTAGTCATAGTTCTTGAACTCGCACACGAATATTTTCCCGAAGAAATTAACATGTAAATATTCCTTCACGTCATTCAACCAGGTAATGGGTGGAGATATTAGTATTCAGCAATAAGTTTTTGAAGAAAATGATCAAAATTTAAATAGAAATAACGAATTGCGGTGTAGGGTTACAAACGCTTTTCTACGTTTAAAGTATACTTATGTCCGATATCAACCTCCACTCTTCTGAACTCGGTCGTTACAGAATTTTTTTTGTATTTTTTCGAGAGTAGTCGTGGTAGAAGGACATGGGAGGCATCAATGAGGCCACATTTAGTCTTATACCACAAATCAGCGTTAGGCTGTGAATTCTTTTTGAAGTTGTGCCGATAGCCTTTCTAAATCATTTGTAACTTGATGTACGTCAGTGAAATAATGAGAAATAAAAATCAAAGTTATTTTTGGGAAAATATATTTTTGTTTGTCTGTTTTGTATTTACACTGTCAAGTTTATAGGCTAGGAAAATATCTGTCGACGACTGGAATCCAGCTTCTCTTCATTTCTTATATTCCAGATATATCTTATATTCCAGATATATCTTTCCGCTTGTATTAAATGTAAACCATCGAATAAGGAATTGGCAATTCCCCCATCATTTCATTTTCTAGTATTTTAACTTTTAGCGTACGAAATAGTTCCTGCGGACTTATCTGAGCATATCTTAGCGATCGTATAAGGCTTACTTGTGTCCTCTTCTAAAGTGTTTTACCGTGGCATACTTTTCGCGTCCCGTTGTCATAAAATGGTGAAATAGTGGGTAACGCAATATCTTAAGAAATAACAAGCTTTTTGCTCTCCCAGATACAACCACATGTAACCGTTTTAAGTCTATGTGAGCCCAGAGCTAATCAATAGTTAGTTAGCTGGTTGCTTCTCTTCGTACGTCTATGCACATAAGGACTCGGCGATAGAACTTGAATAAACTTGATTTTGGTTGGTTGCCGATCGGTCAATCGGTAGAAAACAAATCAAATGTGGTCTATTTCTTGATTTGTCAAAGGCCTTTGACAAAGTAAATCACAGCATTCTACTGTCTAAGCTCTCGTTGTATGGCGTTCGAGGAGTCTCGCATAAATGGCTTGAGAGTTATTTTCAAAATCGTAACCAATATGTCAAAATTGATTCCACTAGATCTGCCAATGAAAATATAACATGTGGTATACCTCAAGGCTCGTG